CCCCTGGGCAATTGAAGCAACACCAAAAATACATTACTAGGATCTGATCAAACTAAAAAGCTTTTGCACAGCCAAGAGCACAGTAAGTAAAGCAAACAGACAGCCTTCAGAATAGGAGAAGATTTTTGCGGGTTATGGTTCTGACAAAGGTCTGATAACTAGAATCTATAGAAAACTCAAACTAGTCAATAAGAAAAGAACAAATAACCCCATTTCTAGGTGGGCAAGAGACTTGAACAGAAACTTCCCTGATGAAGACAGGCACATGGCTTACAAACACATGAAAAAATGCTCATCATCCTCAACTTTTTTGGAAAGAAGTTTGGAGAACAGTAAAGGAACTAAAAGTAGACCTACCTGCAATTCCTCTACTTGGTATATACCCAGATGATCAAAAATTATTTTATAACAAAGACATTTATATCAGAATGTTTATTGCAGCCCAATTAATAATAGCCAAGACATGGAAACAGCCCAAGTGCCCATCGACCTATGAATGGATTAAAATTATGAGATATGTACACCATGGAATACTATGCAGCCACAAAAAAGATGGAGACTTCACATCTTTTAGGTTTACCTGGATGGAGCTGGAACATATTCTTAGGAAAGTATCTCAAGAATGGAAAAAAAGTATCCTATGTACTCAATACTACTATGAAATCAATATATAATCACCTACACCTACAGTCATATGAATGGCAAAACATAACTACAATCCAGAAAGTAGAAGGGAAGAGGAGAGAAGGGTGGGGAGATGTGGGAGGAGGGAGGGTATTTGGGGGGACCTCACCTAATGTGCATAATGCAATGGTACATTTCAAAACTATTAAGAAATGAGTATAGTTGTGATGGATGTGTTACTTAGTTCAATGTAAGCATTTCACATTGTATATGGAAACAGTACCCTGAACCCCATAAATGCATCAATGTACAAAGTTATGGTTTAATAAAAAAGAAAAAGAGAGAGAATCATTTTGTTAAGACCTTCAAAAAATTCCACCCAGAGCACAGCTTAAGCAGAACATATGTAACTGCTTAGTTGAAAAATGGAACTGGCAGCTTAACCCAAAATGAGACATTTCTAAGTACATTCAAATTGAGTCATTATTTTTCATCTATGTAGTGTTTTGTTTTTCCAAAATTCCTTGCAATTTCAGACTCTAAAATGGCAAGTTTTACCATTATTTTAAAGCTAATGGCATGTCTATTACTTGGATAGCCATCTTGACTCAACTGTCTAATCAAATGTACAATTCGGTCCAAAAACCAGCCATCAGCTGTCAGAATGGTAAAATAGTTATATGTACTTTCCAAAGCCAGAGACGCAGTCGTGGGTGAGACTTCAGAGTTTTACTGTGGTCCAGTTCTGACTCTCACGACTCACTTCCTTACTTGGTATTCTCACATGGAAAGCTTTCTCGGGGATTATAGGGTAATATTTTCAAGAATTGGAACTTGTCTACAGTTACCTTTCTAAAAGCTAAAAAAATCCCTTTGAAGGCACTTTTTTAAAAGGAATTATACAAAGGTTGGCAAAAAGAAACACCTTTGGGGGTTTTGCACCGAGTCAAGTTGTACAAATTGCAGAATATTCCCCTTGTTCCAAGACATTATTTTATTCCTGCCTACTACTTCCTATCCACAAATTCCAGTATGTTTGGACCCTCCTGACAACTAGGGGAATTATAAAAAGAGGATGCTTACTATCAGGATGAGAAAGCTAGAAACGACGCCCCTGGCTTTCTTCCTATCAAGGACAGAGAGAAACATATCAGGTCACTCTCCCTGGTACACTTGCCAGCGCTTGGAGGACCCCCATGGCCAGTGCTCACATGGTGCCAGGAGCCCACCACCATCCTGCAGGAAGATGATCAGCCCTTTCAAGGGAAACCAAAAGCTGGCAGGGGGAAATGTCTGCCAGTTATTTAGCCCATGAAGGGCATACTGTCTGAGATCATGACCAAATAGATTGCATGTGAACTTGAAAGGGTCCCAGGAAATTCAGAGTGAAAGGTCGTGGTCACGGCAGGATCCAGAAATGTAAGCCAAGATTTGAGTTGTGCTGCTGTGATGGTGGTGCCCTTCACAGAGGAGCATGGGGACATCCTGGGTGCAGTGCCACCCAGGGCCCTTCCTCAGCAGCAGGGGTTGACCTGATGATAGGAAAGCACCCAAACCCCAGGCTGCACTGTGAGCGGGCTGCCCCTTCTCAGCTGCTGAATCCCAGTCCCTGGATGAGCAACCCTGGGGTTCACAACTCTGACTCTCTCTGCTTCCCTCTCGTCCCTTGTAGAATCAGAAGTGCCCAGAATCCAGACATTGTTCCCCCAGCTAATCTCCTCTTTACCTGTGTCCTAGAAACACCCAAAATAAGCTGGGGGACCACTATAGGGAGACAACTGTTCCTATAGACACAGGGTTGCCCTGTCTGAAGCAAGCAGCAAAACAGTCCTATCACATGCCTCTGACCGGTTAGAGAGGCAGTCAAAGAGGTGCCGTGAGGAAGTGTAATGTCACATGCAACATTTACAGGAAGCTGGCGAGAAGACAGCAGAGGAACTTGAGAGCTTGGTTGTTTTCTGCAGATTAAAGTAACACAGGTTAGTGTTTCTTTTTCCCCCTGAAAAACCTTTCATAGCCACTCTAAAACACCTGATTTTCTTTCCTTGAACTGTCTTTAACTATTTCTCTGATGTGAAGGACTTGGCTTTGGCTCTGAATGTAAGAGCCAGCACGTCGGTGGTAACTGCACATTGTGAGAGGAACCAGCATTGAGCCATTATGGTGAAAATTAAATTCTCAGAATCTCTTGCTTCCCTGTTTAGAACATCGGCGCCTCTTAAAAAACAAAACTTCAAATGTGCATTAAGTAACTAATTTTCATGGAATTCAGCTAGGCCTTTTGTCCTTTTTATCCATTAGCATAAATCTGAAATGGGGCAGATCAATTTGTATCTGCAGACATGTGGGGCGTTGAAAGGGGGTTAGAAAATGCGGAAATATTGTGTGTAAAACGTGCTGTAAGGCCGTGTGCAAAAGTTCACTGTATGTACTTTTCATCCGGTAAAACTCGTCTTTGGCTTGTATTTTATGTTAAAATAATTTCTCACATTGTTACAAATTCTTAAGTTTCTTTTTTTTTTTTCTAATCTCCCCGGCCCCCCAAATCTCTTACTGACATAAAATGGGAGTGTAAGAGAAGAGGTGGGAACAGCTTGAATATAGTCTGCCTGCACCAGCGCTTACGAATCGGGCCAGCCAGAGCTCAAGCCCAGCAGGGCCTGAACAGCCCATGCGGTTTGCCCGTCACTACAGCTTTAAAATGTCCTCAGCCTTGTGCTTCCTGTAGAAAGGAACATTTTGAAGAGTTCTACAAAAGAGCCAGAAAGATGGTCAGCGGTTGGAAAGTAGAAACCCAGAAACATGTAAAGGGACCAGGATTACTCCTCCCATGGCCACTGAGGGTTGGTTTAATAGAGAACTTCAGGTCGTTAAAAGGCATTTTTACATAAAGACCTACTGCTTTCAGTTCTATGAAAAAGGAAAATGTCTCAAGTCTGAATTAGGAGAAGGAAGTTACTATGTTACTGAACTGCTGTGCTCTTGAACAGGTTAGCCAAGCTGAGCTCTTTCTGGATGTTTTGGAAAACGTAGCAGGTGGCTTCTTGGGCTGCCTTAATAAGTTAATGGAGGCAGGGAGGATAACGACGAGACGAGACCAGGATTCCAACCTTCCTGTTTCATCTCTTCATTGGAGCCCAAGGTGTTCTAAAATGTGTTGAGGGCTGAGTGGACCCACAGTGTTGTTTATATCCCAGTAATACCAAGCAGCCAGAGCAGTGATGAAAGGGAACAATCATTGTTGATTTCACCCTCTGATTGCCGCATGTTTTTTTCACTTTTTACTACCATGTTGTGCAAGAAAATGGAGAGGAAGCTGACAGCACAAGAGAACATTCTAAGCTGGAGGTTTCCGCTTTAGAGGGTTCAGAAACCCCATGCCGGCTCTGGCAGAGGCAGCCCACGTTGCCATTGGATTGGGGAATGGAAAGGAGATTGGATTTATTGCTAGCTGGAGCCCCTCACACGAATGCCTGTAGGAGACATGCAAACAGGTGGGGTAGGACGGTCTCTTGTACGTGCTGCCACCCTCAGGGGCTGGGAGAGGCTTACAGCTTAGCAGCAGCTGGACATCCTGGAAGGATCTCTTCTTTCAGTTTTGTTTTGCTTTTTGAATTGTTCCTAGATCTTGGCTATTCAGGAGTTTTGCATTCTGCTAATCTCTTCCTCATAGTAGATATGGGCTTTTTATTTGTTGAAATATTTTCCAGATGGACCTAAGGTCCTTTTTTGTCAATGTATCTTTCCAAAAATTGCTGTTTCCAGTTCTTTGGGGAGTACCTTCTCTCCCTAATCATTTCTCAGCCTCTTTCCAAACTCTCCACTTTCACTGTGTTCCCTTTCGAGATCCAAAACAAAAGGTTTATAAAGTGTCATCGTTCTGCAACACCTCTGATTCCCAGGCCTGGAGTAGTTCTGGGGGGGGCAAGAGGAGGACATAGAATGGTAGGAGGTGGCAGATCCTTTGGGTAGTGGAGAGCACTGGGAGTGTTAACCTTGTTTGTCATTGTTAGACCGGAATGGCTGATGAGTTGAACACTGAGCTTGATTTGAATGTCAAAAAGGAAAGAGATGAATGGCTACCTTTAATCTGGAGAGAAAAATAGGTGAATTTTATGGTGAGGAACAGTACGGGCACATTCCTGAATTCTCTAAGAGGACTGGGGTCAACTTCTCAACTCTCTTTTCTCCCCCAGACCCTGACACACAGCAGTCTCCCCCACACACACACACAGAGTCCCGGATTCTGCCAGACAGGGACTGTGAGTTGGCATTCACAGATGCTTGGGTGCCCTGGGTGTAAGAGGGATGAAGTAGAGACATATATTAAACATTTGTGCTAGTAGGGAAAAATAAAATAAAATAAAAAACCACTCTGATGTGTTCAGCCTTTATAGCTGAACACATCCTTGGTCATCATGTTAAGTAGGCATGAGCCAGTCTGCAGGCCCAGCTCTCTGGAGAAGTTCCCACGCCTGTGTAAGGTAATACTGTTAATCACCATCAGTAATACTGGGGAATACTAGGTACCAGCGTTGGGGGGGGGGGTTGTATTAATAATTGTGGTTAAAGACACACCATAAAATTTACCATCTTGATGATGAAGTGCACAGTTGAATATTATTGAGCTTATCCACATTGTTGTGCATCTAATCTCCAAAATTATTTTCATCTTGCAAAACCGAAACTCCAGACCCACTAAACAACTCTCAATTCCTTTCCCTTCCCAACTCCTGGCAGCCCCCAATGTGTTCTCTGTCTCTGTGAATTTGACTTCTCTAGGAACCTCATATAAGTGGAATCATACAGTATTTCTCTTTCTGTGACTGTTTATTTCACTTAGCATAATGTCTTTAAGGTTCACCCACGTTATCACATGTGTCAGAACTTCCTTTTTAAGGCCAAATGATATCTTATGGTATGGAAACATCACATTTTCTTTATGTAGTCATCCACTTATGGACATTTGGGTGGCCTCCACGTTCTGGCAATTGGGAATAATGCTGTTGGGAACATGGGTTTGCAAGTATCCCTTTGAGACCCTGCATTTAGTTCCTTTGATATACACCCAGAAGTGGTATTCCTGGCGCACTCCCGGCTCACATGGCAATTGTGTTTTTAGCTTCTGACAGTTACTGTCATACCACCCTCCCTCCCCAAATACAGACTTGAAGGTAGCTCCTATTACAGTGTATCCTTATCATCTTTCTTTATGAACGCCTCAAACGAAGTGTTCATGTTTTGTTTTCTGGGTAATGAAGATCCAAAGCAGACTTGGGCTATTGTCCCAGGAAAGTGAGCGAAACCAGTGGAGGGGTGGCCATGGTAAGTGTTTAGGTTACAAATTTTCTTTTTTTTTTTTTTTTTTTGAGACGGAGCCTCAAGCTATCCCCCTGGGTAGAGTGCCATGGCATCACGCTCACAGCAACCTCCAACTCCTGGGCTCAAGCGAGTCTCCTGCCTCCGCCTCCCAAGTAGCTGGGACCACAGGCGCCCGCCACAACGCCTGGCCATTTTTTGGTTGCAGCCATCATTGTTGTTTGGCGGGCCCGGGCTGGGGATTTGAACCCGCCACCTTAGGTGTATGTGGCTGGCGCCTTAGCCGTTGGAGCCACAGGCGCCGAGCCGGTTACAAATTTTCTACAAGAAAACGGCAGGAGAGATGTGACGTACGGTTTGACTCGGTGCTTTGTGGTAATCCTGTTGTTGAAGGCGCTGTCTGCTAACTAAACCATGAGTGCACAATGTATGTGGTCGGACGGTTACGTATGCGAACTCATCTTAGAAAAAGTGCTACCCGCTTTACTGCTGAATATCTCTGTGGTCACCTTCCAAGTATTCCCCTTGGGGGGCTAGACACTGAAGCCAGCGCCTAGTCTACCCTTCAATGCTCTTTTTGTAGGACGAGTTCCAAACTTAATTGTCAGACCTCACAGGATGGCAGCGCTGATGGCCTTCTAGAAAAAGAGTTCCAGAATTGTTTTGGAAGGTGGTTTAGGTGTTCTTCTAGAGTTCCAGAATTGCTTTGAAAAGTGGGTTAGGTGTTCTTCTAGAGTTCCAGAATTGCTTTGAAAGGTGGTGTTAGTGCATAGCTTCCCAAGGGCATACTTCAAAGGTGACTGTAGTGATATTCAGCGACGAGGTATGTAGCACTTTTTTCTAGAATGAGTTTTGAGAACTTAATTGTCTGACCTCTTATGCTCGGTGACAGTACCAGGGAAGGGGCTGCCTGTGTGTCTGATTTTTTTTTACTCTGCCATTTCAATTTCACTCCATTTCATCATCAGTCAGAAGGTTGGTGCTGTTTAAAGAAAAAAAAAGTTGTCCTCTCTTTAAAAAAAAAGCATCAGAGAATGACAAGTCGCATTTGTTTGTTTATGAAAATGACAATAAACAGATGCATTCGTTTGTTTATGAGAGGACGCAGGAAACTATTCTTGGAAAATAATAAACTGGAAAAAGATAAGTCTTTGAAGTGGAACCCTGTCATGGGAAACAAACTGAACTGAAGAGGCACCTGTTCCTAGTTCGAATGACGTCCTGTGCCCGTTTCACCAGGGAGTACTCACATACCAGGAGCATTATAATTGCTTAGTGCTAGTGAGAAGTTACTGCTTGGAGACTAAATCCTTACCAGAGTGTCTATGTTGATGTTTTCTGGTGCAAATTAGGCTTCCTTTCTACCTGTGTTCATGCCTGTATTTTTAACATGATGTATTTTAAGTTCATTCATTGTATTGGTTGCCTGTGGCTTATAGTAGGATACATGTTTGTGTGCCCGTACACACAGAACTATATACGTGTGTGTGTGCACATATTACATGTATAATGGGGGAAATTCTTTAGGGCATATGTTTCCTCAACTAACAGTCATTAGATGATTTCTTGGAGCCCACAGATATTTGAAATGTGCTGCTAACTGCAGATGAGGAGCTTGTGGATATGTGTGTTATACTTAGAGATTTATTTGGAAGCTTTG